GGCAGCCGCGCAGCGCCCGCGCCGGGAGCGCGTCCCCCCGCGCGTGCTGCAGGCAGTGGAAGAGGGGCGGCAGCCCGTGGTGCCGGGAGGACGCGCGCTCCCCCCAGCGCGCCGCCGCGGCCAGCGCCTCCAGGTTCCCCGCGGACAGCCGGCAGCCGAAGGCCCGCTCCACGGCCGGGGCGCACGCCGCGTGGAACAGCCCGCAGAAGAGGAGCGCCACGGGCACCAGGCCGTCCCTCCGCCGCCGGCCCGGCTCCCCGACCAGGGGCCCCAGGCGCGCCGCGTCCAGCGCCTGGAAGTCGGGATCCCGCCCCGGGAAGCGCAGCGCGTGCCACAGCGCCGCGAAGAACTCCTGGAAGCCGGGCAGGGCGAAGGCATAGCGGCGGCCCCGGCCCCCAGCGCCCTGAGCCGCCTCCCGCAGGACCCGCGCGCGCAAAAGCGCATCCACCGCGGCGGGGCGCAGCCGGGCGCGCGCCAGCTCCTGCTCCCCGAACACCCAGCGCGCGCCCCACGCGCCCTCGGCCGCCAGGGCGCACACCGCCTGCAGGGTCTCCTGGAGAGGGGCCCCCGGGACCTCTCCGACGGCGCCCACGAAGGCGCGGGACAGGTGCTGGGCGAATAGGGCGGTCGCGTTGGGGAAGGCAGAGAAGAGGTCCTTGCCCCGCTCCGCCGGCCCTCGGAGGCACGAGCAGACCAGCCAGCACACGGCGGGCGCCTGGCATATGGAGGCGAGGACGGCGCTGCCCCGCAGGAAGTCCACCGCCGCCTCGGCCGCTGCCCCCCGGCCCCCAAAGTACGTCCGGAGATAGCGGGTCCTCTCCGGGGCGGTGAACCCCGAGAGCGTGAGGACGGAGGGGCAGCGCAGCAGCGGCCGGAGGGCCCTCCAGGAGGAAGGGCGCAGCAGCAGCAGCAGCGAGGCCCGGGGCAGCAGCCTCCCGCTCAGCAGGCCCACCAGCAGCACGGGCACCGGGAGTTTTCGCCACCAGTTCAGCCGCCGGTGCCTGCGCGCGCGCGGGAGGGGCAGGCCCAGATCCTCGAACCCGTCCAGGACTAGCAGCAGCTGCTCTGGCCGGGCCAGCGCCTTGGCGGCCAGCGCCGCGGCCTGTGGCCCCTGGGCGGACAGCAGGTCGGCCATACTCAGCTCCCCGGCGCCGGCCGCGCGGCCGCAGTGAACGTAGAAGGCGCACCAGGCCGTGTGCGCGTAGAAGGCGCGCCGGGCCCATGCGTGCATCAGCCGGCGCGCCAGCGTGGTCTTCCCCACGCCGGCCGCGCCGCACAGGACCACCATGCGGGGTGGCTGTCCGCGGGGCCTGCGTGGCAGGAACAGGCAGGACAGGAGCTGGCGGTGCCGGGGGAGGTCCTGGTGGAAGAAGTCCGCCTGGTCCTCCGGCCACGCCAGGCCGTCCTCCGGGGCCGAGAAGTGGTCCAGCACCTGCTGTCGGTAGTCCTGGACCTCAACTAGGGGGGAGAGAGAGAGAGGAGAGAGAGAGACAGACAGCGAGAGAGACAGACAGACAGAGAGACAGACAGAGAGACAGACAGAGAGACAGAGAGACACACACACAGAGAAACAGAGAGAGAGTGGGGAGGAGAGAAAGAGAGAGAGAGAGAGAGAGAGAGAGAGAGGAGAGATCATCATAAGAAGGAATCCAGCAACAAGGAGAGAGCAGCCTGGAGGTGGACAACAAGCCCAGCCCACATTTATTAATTTTAAAACATGCGCCGAAACCAGTTTGGCTCAGTGGATGGAGAGTCGGCCTGTGGACTCAAGGGTCCCGGGTTCGATTCCGGTCAAGGGCATGTAACCTGGTTGCGGGCACATCCCCAGTGGGGGGGGGGGGATGGTGGATGCAGGAGGCAGCTGATCAATGTTTCTCTCTCATTGATGTTTCTAACTTTCTCTCCCTTCCTCTCTGTAAAAAAATCAGTAAAATATATATTTTTTAAAAAAGGAGAAACACCAAATCCGTAGACCACCCCCTGGCCTTAGGAATGACCCCTAGCCTGTCTCCCGCAGCACCTGCCCCGCCCCCGGCACGTACCCGGGTCTTCCTCCTCCAGGGTCCTCTGTGCTGCTCCTGGGCGCCGGTCCCGGGGCTCCGGGCGGGGCTGCAGGTGAGGCAGAAGCTCTGCGATGGACCAGAGGACAGGCTGCCCCGTGGGAACAGGAGCGACGTGCCCTACCCCCCTCCACACTCCCATAGCTGTGGCCTCGCCCTCCTGGGACAGCTGTGGCCACGCCCTCAGGGAATAGCTGTGGCCACGCCCTCAGGGATAGCTGTGGCCACGCCCCTCGGGGACCTCCCGCCCCCTTGCAGGGAGGAGAGAGCTAATGGGACTCCACGGGGATGCCAGGGAGAGAGGAGGCAGTGCCGTTTCCGTGGGCCCAGGAAGGGGATCGAGAACGCGCACATGGACGCTCAGCCCCAGGCGCGCCGGGCCCACGCGCGCATCAGCCGGCTCGCCAGCGTGGTCTTCCCCACGCTGGTTGAGTGCCATCCTGTGCGCCAAGGGGATGCCAGTCCCATTCCCGGTCCAGGGCACATGCCCTGGTTGTGGGCTCGATGGTCAGGAGGGGGCATGCAGGAGGCAGCCGATTGATGTTTTTCTCTCTTTAAAAATATAGTTTATTGATTTTTTACAGAGAAGAAGGGAGAGGGATAGAGAGTTAGAAACATCGATCAGCTGCCTCCTGCACACCCCCTACCTGGGATGTGCCCGCAGCCAAGGTACATGCCCTTGACAGGAATCGAACCCGGAACCCTTCATTCCGCAGGCTTACGCTCGATCCACTGAGCCAAACCAGTTTCGGCTGCCCTTACACTCTTGACCAGCAATTGAACTCTTGACCCTTCTGAGTGGGACCACACTCTCACCACTGAGGCTCACCAGTCAGGGCAGGTTATTTCATTAAATAGGCGAATAGTGCCGAATCCGGTGTGGCTCAGTGGACAGAGCCTCGGCCTGAGGACTGAAAGGTCCCGGGTTCGATTCCAGTCAAGGGCATGCACCTTGGATGCGGGTACATCCCTGATAGGGAGTGTGCAGGAGGCAGCTGATGGATGTTTCTCTCTCATCGATGTTTCTAACTCTCCCTCTCCCTTCCTCTCTGTACAAAAATCAATAAAACATATATTTTTAAAAACATGCTAATAGGATAGTCTTCGCCTTTTGGGGGCAGAGC